CCCCCCCCCCCCCCTGGCCCTTTGTGCTTCTAAACAAACAGGCAGTGCAACAAGTCCAACGCGAGGCGAAGGAGAGGTACGACGCCGCCGTCGCAGCCGCTGCACAACGCGACAGCGATAGCAAGGTGCCGTTGCCGCCGCGAGTTGTCGGGATCTGCGTCGGCGAAGGCGAAGCGATGCGCACGCTACGAGGGGTGGACGGTGTCGTGTGCGTCGGGTGGAAGGCCGGAGAGGAGCTGGCGCGCGTGATCGCGTCGTGCGACATCATGGTGGCCCCGAGCGAGGTGCAGCGATACATAAAAGTGTTCGAGGATATCTCCATCGTACCTATCCTTACTGTTTTCAAGCGGTTCTTCTATGACCGACCAAAAAAAATATTCACGATGTTGTTCTCCGTGTCCCGCGTGCGCCGGATGATGCCACTGAACTGGCTGTATGATGGTTTGGTGTGTACCGTGCTTGATTCGAGCAACAGCTCGGTTCACGAAGGCTCTTTCCTCTCTTTTCCTCTCCCTCGCCACGTTTGGTGCTCCTGTCTGACACGCGCGCTGACTATTTACTGTGCAGTCGCGTTGTTGTTCGCGTGTGCCGCGCGCATCTCGAAAACAACCTCACGAAGATCGAGACGTTCGGGCGGGTGACCCTCGAGGCCATGTCCTGCGGCCTGCCGTGCGTCGTCAACCGGGAGTGCGGAGACCACCTCGTCCAGGTGGGTTGGTTGGTGTTTGCGGTCTTGATCTTCAGGACGCTAATGCAATACATGCATACATAACTATCTACGTAATTTTCAACTTTTGCGCACATAAGAAGATTCCTTGAAACAGGGGGGCCCGCGCCGTGCCTGCATGCTGTCATATTTGTTTGTCCCTCTTTCTTTGTTCCTGTTTATCAAGGATTTTTTCTTTTTTTTTCAAGATTTCGTTGTCACGAGGGAATGGGGTGGTGGTGCTTTTCTGCATGAATTTATTTTCATGTGTGAATCCTCTCTCGTGCTTTCTGTGGCATATGTCTCATGAGCACGCACCGCCATGTAGACGCCCCTTTTCGCTCAACAGCGCCGATCAGCGTAATCTCCGCTTACGTTTTTCTCTGTCGCCCGCCTGACTGAATCATCATTCGTCTTCCAATGTATCCCCCTTTGCACAGGATGGGTCGAACGGCTTTTGCGTTCCTTCCGGGGATCAAGACGGCTACGTGGAGGGCTTGCGGAAGCTCGTCCAGGACAAGGACCTGAGGAACAAGGTGCTCCCCAAAACTGTATTGTTGTTGCCGTTTCGCTTGAAGCGAGGGTGCAACGAGGCCCAAGCGCTTGCTGCGCAAGTATCTGTGGGAGTGGCACCCGGTCGTTGTCGAATTATACTCCGCTACTCTCTTGGCTCCTATCTTTTGCGTGCTTCAATACGTGCAGATAGATGTTTGTTTCGAGATTCCGACCTAAAAAAATTATGTCTGTGTCGCTACTACTATGTTGGCGGTGTCTCGAAACACACACACCGGTTCGCAGGTCCTGCGCATTGATTGGGCTATTCACGCAAATAGGCTCTGCACACAGGCAGGCCACTACCTAGACCAAAACCCTTGCACAACGAACGAAAAATGCAATTGGGGGGTATTTCATTTAATTTGTTTTTTTTGTAGGGAAAGGGCACCATATATTTATTTACGAAATTTTATGTTCCTTGGTTTTGGGCAGGACATTCATTCGCGCAAAAAACACTCGACTGCCTCCCCTTCTTTTCTTGCTGCCTCTCGCCTCCGTAACGGCTTGGTGTGTCGCGTAGATGAGCGCGACCGGCAGGCAGATGGCGCTCGGCTACGGGACGACCCAGCTGTACGACGGGATGATGGATATTTACAGGTACTACTGCCGCCGCTTTAGGTGCATACCACGGAAGAAAGAAGAACCAGAATGCCCGCGGACGGAAGTGAAAACTGTCGATCAAGAAAACCTTTGTCCCGTGCTCCCGGCATCTGTTTGTCGGACGTGGCTCGCTTAGTAACTCTCGTCCCTTCCCGAATTTCTTCGTGCGTTTTATCTTTTTTTTTTTTCGCCCGTCAGGTCGTGCCGCGAGACACAGAACAAGACGTTCAGGGCCCGCGTGGCGAAGAAGAGGGGTTTCCCATTCTGGGAGGCGTTCGGGCTGCTGGTAAGTTTTTTGTGCCTTGGACCCATATACCAACCTGTTTCGTAGTCATTTTTTTTTTTTCCGCACACATTGCTGACTCTCCGAAACGCACGTGCCCCATCCCCCCCACATTCTTCTTCTTCATCCTTGCCGTCCCCTCGAGGACGCGTGGCCAATGTTGTAGCGAGTAAGGCATGCAAAACACGAATATTTCTAGCCACGAAATATAAGCATCTTTCCCCGCCGTGTAGCTGACCGCTCTCGCGTGAACATGATATTTTTGTGTGGCACACACCACGTGAATCGATAGCGTCAAGTCTTTGATCAGGACGGACAGATGGAGGGGTGAAGACGACAACAAACACGACAACAACACGTCAAACACCTTCGCGTATCAGTCACAACTTACGCCCCCCCGCCCTTCCCCCGAACCCCTTCTCTTTTCGACGCTGAAACGTCCGCTACGCGGAACCGAACCCGTCACAATTCGCCGCACTTCCTCCTCCAGATCTACTACGTGTTCGAGGCGGCCAAAATGATGACCGCCGCGGCGGCCTTCTTCACGGAGGGCAGGGACTCGGAGGTGGTGCGCCTCTCCGTTCGGGCTTTCCGGAGCCACCTCGCGCTGCTCGGCCAGCTGCTGTTCGGACTGAGCTGCTCCTCCTCCTCCGCCGCTCCTCCTGCTCTTCGCTCTTCCTCCTCGTCGTCTTCCCTCCAGCTCACCCCCTCGCAGATTACAAGGAAGACGTCAAGGCCTTCTCCTTCTTCTTCTCGCCGGTCGTCATCGTCTCACAGGTCCCCCTCCTCCGCGATGATGTCANCATCCTCGTGGCCACGTTCCTTAGTGGAACGAAGGCTGCCCTGACCTGTTCTGATCTGACCTGTTTGTTGCTTCTATGTTCGATCGTTAGAGGCCGCCGGCGGTGGCGGCGGGAGGAGTCTGCGGGCCCGTTACCAGGCGGGCCGTCATCCCTCCTCCTCCTCCTCCTCCTCCTCCGCTCGGTTTTCGTCCTCTCGCCCCGGCTCCGCGGCGATAATGCCGAGATCGGCCTCTTTTTCGAGTGTTGCCGTGCCTGGCGTCAACGATCTTGAAGGTTTCGGTGGTGGTGCTATAGCCGTGATGGCGGTGCACGGGCAGTCGCCCTTTCTTCTTCGGCGCCCGGGCCTCCTCGCGATCATCGTGCTCCTGCTGCTTCTTCTTGTGGTGGCCGTGATCGTGGCGGCGGTGTTCGCCGTCGAGAGCGGCGCCGGCGTTCCCAGGTTTTCTGTCGCCTGACCGAAGCCAAGGAGAGCACGCGCTGTCCCTGATAGATGTGTTGCATGACTGAAGACGGGGAGGTTGGTGTGTGGGCTACAGCAACGCAACGCCCCGTTGCCCCGGTTGGGTCTACTGACAATGGATAGACGGTGGTGGTGGTTTCGTTGCAAACACCATGTGGATGGTTGTTGTCCAAACATTATCTGTGTCGTCCGAACAAGTCTGTGGGGTGGAATAATCCATCTCAAACAGTTTTTGTATATATTGTAGAAGGCCGATGGCACCGTGTCTAAATAAAAAACCCCAGGTAGCTGGTGTTCTGCTTGACGTACATCATTCCCAGTATTTTTTTGTGCTCGGTGGCAGGCACCATGCGTTCCTCATCGTCGCCAGAGAGAGGCTTTGTGCCCCGAAAGGGAGGCGGTCACGATGTGGTTGATGGAGTCGTTGGGGGGTGTCGAGAGCTTGGTTGAGCGAACTCCTGCAGGGGGGTTCACAATGATTTGTTTTACCCCGGGATGATGCAGAATTGCTCCGTTAGTCGAAACTCTACTGCTTGTCGTATCTCACCCTTATTAATTGCGAGGAACAGGACTGAATATGTAACATATTCTCACGTAAGTGTATTTATTGGCCAGTTCGACCTACTACCGTACACGACACAAGATAACACACCCCCTGGAACCATTTTCAAAGCTCCATTACTCCACGAACAAGAGGATGCATTAACAAAACCATACGTTTTTGGAGAGCTCTCCACGACAAGCGTTTAACGCCGCCGTTTTCGGCGCTGTGACTTTCCCTGCTGTTGAGAAACCGAGCTCTGAAAATCAGGCCAGGGGGTGGGTGTGTTATCCTGTGTCGTATACGGTACTTGGTACTGCAACAAAATGAGCCGTAAGTGTTGCAAAACAGTCCCAACGGGTTGGTTCTGCTGTAGTCTACCCGCAGAGAGAGATAGATGTGCTTGCTTTGGGACGCGCGAGGAGCGTGTGTGTGTGTACTCATAGTCGTGCATGCCGTAGTCGTTAGACCATTGACCTCGCATCCCTACAAAGCCGGGACGGAGCACGCCGGGTTCTCACCGGACCAGGCTCTCACATAACCAGGCGCGAAGCACCGTGAGATATTCGGCGAGTCGCTTGAAGGGTGCGCTGCATCCTGCTAGCGGTGTTCGGCATCTCGTGCTTACTTCCTTGCGTAAGGATGACAGCTGCGTATGAATTAATTTATTTTCTGGTGCTTTCACTTCCGGAGACAGTTGTAAGCACTGTGGAACTGCCTCGAGGGTTGACCATTTTAACACGACGCCGTGGTGCGATCATCCCCCTTGCGCGGAGTGAGGGTACTCGACCCCGCACAACATGATCTACTCGACCACCATTATGGTTACCGCCAAAAAAAGACAGAGGTGAACAACAAGTAAGCGGTAACCTGGTTGCTGAGTTCACGAAGTGAATTGGCTTGTTTTACAACGTC